ATTTGTTGTTATTGTGTTTTATCAAACCTGTCATTAATCCAAGCAGACTTGTGTGAGAATTTGTGACCTCATGTATTTGACAAATGTTGATATGAACTATGTGATGTGTGCTTAGACCTACAATAGTCAAATATCACTGTTACGACTGGCTCAAGGTCATAACAAAACGGGAGATTAACGGGACATTTAACCAATACAATATATACAAATTTGGCGAGCTGAGTTCATTTTGTTTCATACCCGAGTCTATAAAACGCCTTCAGAACTCTTTCTGAAATTATTAATCTTCCATTGCTTTTGAGAATATACAAACCATGTTGAAATATGCAATATTTATATTCCATTTTCATTTATTGGTAATTATACAAAATTCTGTTATTTTTTAAGCTTTACAAAACACTTTCTTCATACCGTAAGTCTTGATAGTTCTCCTTAACCTTGGGCAAGTTTAAAAAGTGTCTTTAACTAGTTTTTTAATCAGCTCAGAATTAGACATCACATCTTATTCTATCCAGACTGATGAGAATCTCACTGGAAATATCAATAAATCACCATACTTCTAATGATATTTAGCTGGCTAAGGTAGAGCTAGCCATTTGATCTATGAATATTAACAACGGAAAGAAATTTTCAAAAGTAAATAACACTTTTATCTTGAATGAACATAGCTGGTTCTTGATTTTTCTTTTTCTTGCAGAAACTCCTAAAATTCTTCCTCTTGTTGGAGTCAGCTTTTTGCTGGTGTGTATCATACAATCAGCTCTCCACATTTATTTTTGGCAGCAACAAGGTGAGCATCAGCATACATTTCCTGCTTTACAACCACATTACATAATTTTAAAAGGGTTCTCGTGAATGATAACTCAGTTGTCTCTTTTTCTTTTAATTAATCATGAATGTCATAGAAATTGGCATCTTTTGAGTAAAATGATACAACTACAATGTTTTTGAATCAATAAGAATTGCCTTGCCAAGCTACACCTTCACTAATATTTGATCAAGTGGCCTTTGGTGTTTGTAGCCACCAACAAGCAACAATACCGATATTTTCCACTGATTTGCACAATGTTTTAAAATGTACCTTAAATAATGAATGTTTCTTTGTTCCTCTAGTTGGGTTTTCTAGTCTTTAATGTCTCAGAATGCAATGCCACCTTGCTATCAGAAAATGATGTCCTATTTTCTATGCTGTGCTATGTATCCTAGCTGCATTGCCCCACCTGCCATCCCCCCCAGATTGCCCCCCAGTAACTCCCCCAGTGTGCCCCCCAATAACTCCCGCAGTATGTTCCCAAGTAACTTCCCCACTATGCCCCCCTGGATGGCACTCATTGAAGGGAAGCTGCTACTGGGTTTCTTGTACGCAAAGGACGTGGTTGCATGCTAGGACCAGATGTGAGTCGAACGGCGCGGATCTCGTGATTATCAATGATGAAACAGAATGGGTATGAAAATCTTTCTATGTTTTTTAATCAGATGAACAGAGCAAACCTGCTGATAAGATTGCAGTGGTTTCAAATTATTCTAAATCATCAGCAAGAATAAAAAATTCATTGGTCACTTTATTATGTACATCTTTCTATTACTGGTGTTCAAAATGACTTAAAAACCCCTTTCACAACATTGTAATGCTCTGTTGAAATTCCAGTGAGTTGTTTTCATTGTGACTAGAAGCCTAAATGCATCTAGTTGAACCAACGTAATTGAATTGCTTGAATTGGTTACAAGTAATTCAACTAAGCTTATCCAACTTAATTTATTAAGTTTAACCAACTCAAGTTTTGTCTATCCAACTCAATTTATTATATCTACCCAACTAAATTTACTAAGTTTATCCAACTCAATGTATTATAATCATCTAACTCAATTATATAAGTACATCCAATCAATTTATTAAGTTTTTAAACTGCATTCATTAGGTGTGCTTAAAATTACAAATTTATGTCAGTCTTAATCAAATAATTTAGTTTACTTCAAATAAAAAAATAAATTAAGATGGGTAAACTATTTTCTTTTTTTCAGTTTACAGGATCTTTGAAAAACTAAAATAACATGTTAAAACATAAATATAAAATAATTTAAATTCTAGCTGTATTGCAAGTACAATGTGACTGATAATGTAATTTTGGATATTTTATTTTATTCTTTTTACTTTGGAACAACTTAAAAGTTTGAGATGACTTTCTGTAGAACTTAGTTAAAGAGATTTTAATTATTTATTAGAAAAAAATATGATTTGAGGAAGAGTGACTTAATTTGTCATGTTAAACATGCTTACTGAATTAAGTTATAAAAACTTAATAAATTGAGTTGGATGATCATAATATACTGAGTTGGTCAGACAGGATGCAAAACTGGCATTGAACTCAATTGCTTCAAGTAAAGTCAAAGTAAAAAGTTATTTTAAGTTAATTAAGTGAATTTAAGTTAACTGAACACAAAAACGTTAGTTGTCATCACATAACCAAATGAATTAAGTGAGATTAATGTAAATAAGTCCATAAAATGAACTACAGCCAAAAGCACTTTTTAGAGTGTGCATGTATGCTGGCTAATACAACATTTTTGTCAACTTATAAATGCAATTGAAAGGGTGTACCTAATACAGTGGCCAGTGAGTCTATGCAACATCTCTGTCTCATTTCTGCCAGATTTGACTCATGTAATGATTTTATTAGATTCAAGCATTTCAGCTGTCCTTCTGTCCAAACAGAGTTTCTTGTCCGGTCTTGTGGAAACGAGCAGCACATGGATTGGCTTAAATGTTAAACACAATAACTACTCTCAGTCTCTGAAGTGGGTGGATGGAAGCGAAATGACCTTTAGGTAAAACTGACTCACAGTGGATGGTCACTCTAAAAATTACTTTGACAGTGAGTGTTGGACATTATGCTGAAGTATTTTGGACTAGCTTTATTTTTCAGAGTTAAATTAGCAAATTTATAAAATGATTCATTTCTGTAAACAAAGGTGGGAGTTGAAGGTAGGGTACAGGAAATGTTCATGAGGTATTTAGCATAACTTGGCAGAACAAACTGTCTTCCATGCAGATCAGAATTACAATTTTTTTGTGTTTTCCCACACATCTGAAAATCCAAATATGTCAAATAATTATTAAGTATTGAATAAGATTTCTTACTGTTTTTTCTTCTCTTATGGTTGCAGACCCAATAACCATTTTTACCAAGGGACCAGTCAGGAGAGTTGCATGTATATGAACGCAAGTCTGTACTACTCAAGCGTTTGCGACCAAAAACGTGGTTGGATCTGTGAGATGAAGTTGAATAAATAGTCCTACTTGTGTGCATAAGTAAAAATGTTTTTGCCAAGAAATTTTCCACTTATTTTATGCAGAGACTTATTCCATCCCTAACCTTAGCAATAATCATTTCCTGGGTGTTTAATGTCTGTTTTAATAATGTTTTTTATCATTGCAGAAAGTAGCTGTAGACCTTTTTGTTTTTGTCTGTTATACTTTTTTTCTGAATTATAAGCTGTTTTGATAATAGGTAATTGCTGGCACATGTCTAATCAAAAATATTTGGTAAAACAATATGGAAATGTTTATCACAAACTATTATTTTTGATAACATTTAGAACAAAGATTAAATTAGACGTTCCTCAAAATTCTACTCTCAAGCCACTTTTACTTATCAGCTTATTCTCAATTTCAGTTTGTATTTTAGTGAAACATTAAAAATGGCACAAAATATGCACCAGAAAGAAAATCTTAAATGCAAACGCAGTAGAAAAGTGTCAAGTTTTTGTGTTACTGGTTGCTGTCCACTAGAGGGTGCTGTTGTTCAGTGTTACTTAATACTTCTAGGTTTCAAACAGAAAGAAAAATCCCTGTACCTATTTTGTAAATATCATAATGCTTGTATTTTAATTGGCTGTATCACAAACTCAAACTGTTTTGGTCTATTCTTTAAGTCTGTACAACAACATGCCTTAATTCAACAGTTTTGACTCTTCTCTTGCTTATATAAATAACCATAACACTGTTGATGATGCATTTTCCTACTGAAATATATGAGATAATAAACAATTTGAATGCAAATTAATTAAATTAAAAGATCTTGATTTTTTTATTTTATTTTATTTTATTTTTTACAAATAAACTCAACAGTGGAGCATACATTTGTACTCTGTCCCTTTTAATTCTATACTCCTTATTAAAATGCTGTGTAACCACTTACATTAAGAAGTGACCTAATGGGTGTAACACAGTTTAGTTTCAATACAAATCCAACTTACCTGTCATTCTCAGCTATGAAACACTGGAAAACAAACAGTATCATAAAGGTTTTTCTATTTTTAATCCTTAAAATGATGTCAAAAACCTTATTTTTCCCCTTTCCATTCAATATTTTTTTAAACGTATGAAACACCCAATAAATACTTAAAAAGTTGAGGGTTTTATATGACAAAATGTGAAATAATTAAAGGTGTAGGTATACTTTTGCCAACCAACGTAATTAAAGATCATATTTCGTCGCTAAGAACCATAATTTTTGTTGACAAAAAGTTTTAGAAAATTGCTTTAGTCTATATATCTACCAAAGATGTTCTTCAGAATAACAGTTGTTTTTCATCTTAAGCAGTTATTAGTAGAGAGAACAGCATGTCCTTGTTTGCCATTCTCTCATCAGGAAGCAGATAGCAAAGAGATGGGGCCTTAGAGGTCAGATTTTATGCCTTGCAACAAGGTTAATGATACAGCACAACAGTTCAAGAGGATATATAGCTACAGAGTTATGTAACATCCTCAACAGTGACTTTTTCAAATTTATTCACAGCAAAACTAACATTTTTTAGTCTTAATAATTATGTCCAGGGAATATGAGAAGTCAATTATAAACAATGGTAATGTAAACAAGAAAGTAATAGGTTTATCACAGAACAGAAAAGGATCTGAATGCTTTAAATAATTAATTCATTCTTTGTTACTCTTATTGTTTTCAGGATTTATTAAAGATCTGGTTCTGCAAACTGCACAAGAGCAGGAGCTGAATGAAAGACATTTGTGTTTGTAAATTCAACTTCTCATGACCAACTACAAAACATTAGTGACATTGCATTTGTGAAAAGGGTAGATGGTAAATGACATCTATTGATAACAGATCAACCTCCATGAACTTTAAATAAAATTACAACGAGTTCCACTGGCAGATTAATTCACGTATAACAAGACATTTTTCCCATGTTGTAAGTGAAATAATCTGTCTGTGGAATTAGTAGTTTTTCATCAATATTAAGAAACTATTGACCTAAGACAAACTCATGTTTTGCTAAAAAGTTCATTGTAAGTTAGCTTTGTCTTAATTTTGGTCTCTTAATTTTCTTTATAAATTACATCAAAAACACTTGGTAAGATTTTGTTTTTTCGCAGTGCAGAAAACCTTTTCCTTGGCAACAATGGCTGATGTTGGTAGTACAATGAGCCATTTTACACACTAACTATGAGGGAAAATCCTTAGTAATTCTTGGTTTTGTAAAACTTTGCCCTGGTTATCTAACTTGGAAAAAAAGAAGGAAAAATGGTTCCAGAAAATCCTTACTGTTTTTTTCTTCTTCTGTACTCTCACGTTAATTTTCCTTTCTTTCCAAACAATTGAGGCATTTAGTTGGTGATCATATCAGAACCACTTTTACAGCTGTTTCAGTGGAGTGAGAGCTAATTAAGTTAAAGAGAATACAATCTGGTTTTCTTCGGCTGTGAAAGCCACCAGTGTCTGACTGGTATGTACAACTCACAAAACACTTCATTTCTCAGTTTAACCATTTAGTTGACACTGTCCTCATCCTCTTACCTTACGCTCACAGAGGACATGAGGTATGAGGGTTTCACTTCTCAGACTGAAAACATTACAAATTGAGGAACTGAACCAAGCTGGCTACATTTTACTAGAGTTTTGCTCCATGTTTTCAGTGTGCAGAAACCACATGAGAGCTGGAGGTCTTTATGATATATGAAAAACATAAAAAAAAAAAAAAGAATTTGTGTTATCTTAAATTGTTCATATTTTTATTATGTGTTTGAGTTTTCAAAGTGCTTACAAGTTATTGTTATATGCCAAATCTGTTGCTATTTAGTTTTCGTATTGTATGCATACATTTACTTAAATTAGGAAGATGGAAAATTGAAAATAATGCTTTTACAGCACAAATGCAGAATTATACCTCTGTCAAGCTGCTTTGGATTCAATGTACTTGAGTTTTCTGCTCAGAGGTCAGAAGGTTCTCAGTTTGGAGAAAGTCTATGAGTAATGACGGGACACTGCAGACTGTTGTGTCCTCTCTAAAACCCTTCGACATATCCTTTATTCAGATAAATCACCATAATCCCACAGAGCCTAAAACATGCTGATATTCTTTAGGCTGCAGAGGTTATATTGTTCTCTCACCCTGCTTTGTGTGACAAGGTGAAGTGAGTGACTGAACACAAGCTCTAAAATTTAGTCATTTTACATAGGAAAATCCAAGCTCTTCTTTAACAACACTGGTATGTTAGCCACTGCGTTCATTAATAAACTACAGATAAAGCCCCTTCCTAATCAACAAAAAGCCCAATGATGTAATGACAGCATTACTATATCTCAAGCTCTGCTGCACTGATAAAGATTTACTAACCTGGTAAGTCGGTTCTTAAAACTGAAAGTGAAACTCACTATCTTACCTACTTTCAGATCAATTTGTCAAATTCTTATCTCATCACTTCTAACATTGAAATTACATTACAGGACAGTCAGTTTGATCTTAAATATAAAACACGAGACGGTAACATCTGATTAAATGTAGCGTACCATATCATGACACAACATAAGTTACAAATTCCACACCATTGATCCAATACACACACTATTCAGAACATTAGTACATTAACAATGACACACATATGCCAAAGGCATGAGAGGCGGTGATATTTTACAAAATTTACATCATGTTGTCATTTTTATTAATGCTTCCAAAATGATAGTCTGACAGTCCTGCTATTTTTTATTAAGCTAGACTTTGTGTGAAATATATTGTCTAAAATATGCAAGCCAATGTCTGTTTCAACACATAAAAAGTACCTTCTATTTGTGCTACCTAAAAAAACAAACAAAAAAAACAACAAAAACATTTATGTCAATATTATTTGATATAAATTAGGAGGTAATTTGTCTGTGTATTTCAAACATGACCTTTGGGCTTTCAATGGAATTCAAAAAGATGCATGAAAGTGCAGCATTATAAGCTCCTGCTTATGAGAACTATATAATGGAGTAGGAAGCGTTTGCCTCATGAGACTCATAGCTGCTAACCAACACGGGTTTCTCATTGAACATCATGCTCCAGTTTTCAGTAGAAACCTAATGTCTGCCATTGCACGTGTTTGCCCAGAGAAGGCAGTGGACAGTCCTGATAGCAGTGCTGAGGCCTTTTGTGAGAGAAAGGCTTCCAGACATCTGGATTGTTTGAGCAGCTCCATTAGCATCAGCCCTTGAGGTGTGCAGGCACATGATGTTGGTTACGCAACCTGTAAAAAGTCACCTCGGGCTGCTGTCTTTCACTCTCTGAGCACTCAGCGCCATTTCCTCTGGTGGGCAAACCTGAACAGAAAGCATGCCATGCCAACAAAAATAAGAGGCCCGCTTTTATTGAAAGCCTTTTGTATATTTGGAATATTTGGAGCTATTAAGATTCTGCATGTTTTTTTTTTTTGTTTTTTTTTGTTAGTTTGTCCTACTCTTTGGTATATCAAGTCTGTCATCTAATTATGTCAGTATAATTAGATGAAGACAGTGTCAAATGTTTTCACCACAAAACCCTAGGAAGCTGAGTTTTAATCAGAACAAATAAAAATACAAAAATCACAATCATTGCTTTAAATTTACGATTTTTTAGGTTTGAAAAACAAATAATAAGCAGCATATTTATGCTTAATTCAGAAGTAGGGCCATTGATATGAAGTGTTCTGTCCTGAAACACTTACAAGCAGCCATATTTACTGAAATACCTTCCATCTGCAATTAGTGCAGGAGATATTCACCTCTGGACTTTATAATATGAATTTAGAGTGTCTAATATGGGCAACCGCCCAGGGCGGCATCTTGTTTCCCACTCTACACATGAAGTTGTTGCAGAACTGGAGAACTCCTTCAGTAACAGATTGCTGCATCCTTGGTGCACAGCTAGTTTGGACAATTATTGACTATATTATATATTTAATGTAAAGCACTTTGAAGTGCTTTTGCTGAAATGAGATACAAATAAACTTGATTGATTGATAAATGTAGAAATCATTTAGAATAGAAACCTGAAAAATCTAGGAAACAATTCCACTTATTTTTGAGAACAGGAGTTTGAAAGAACTCGGTAGGAGGTGTAGTTGTTTCAGCTGGAGGAGGCACTGATCACCCCTCATACAGTCCGCTGCCTCGCTGAAGGGGGCGGTCCCGGTCTGAAGCGGAGCTCTCCGGTCAGCTCAGTTTGTTTCGTTAGCTCGGTGCGGAGTGAGAGCGGAGCAGAAGTG